AAATGCCTTTTGCGAAGATCATGAACCTAAGCCCTACCACCCATATATATAGACCAGCAGGTGAAGACTCACCGGAAATAAAACACCTTTCAAACTAGTATTTTATGTTTCAGAGAAGCAAGCATGATGCTTGTATGTATGTATGTATGTATGTATGTATGTATGTATGTATGTATGTCTATTTCTCTATCTAATTTTGAAGCTAATTTGACTAGTGTACATGGATATATAGTTTGGTCAACGGTGTAGCTGCACATGCGCTAAGTTTATCTCACGTCTATGATGCAACCCCCTTAAAATTAGTTTCAAAATTAAAATACGCGAGTATCTATGATATATATATATATATATATATATATATAACAGAGAGAGAGGGATGGAGACATAAATAGTAACTTTGATGAGACAGATATATGTATAGCTAATAATTTTAATGATATATATATATATATATATATATATATATATATATATATATATATAGCAAATGACATAGGTAGCTATAGACACACACATACACGCGCGTGCACACACACACGCACAATATCTCTCTACACAAGCACACACACACACATACACACACACACATATATATATATATATATATAGTTTAATTATACAAATATTTCGTCATAATCTTCTTTATCAATATATTTTACCTATCAGAATACATCGAAGTACTACAGACTTATCGATCAAACCTCTCATATGTGTCTGATATGTATATTTAGTCATTTTAGTTTTGTCTAGCAAATGGCCACAAATGCACAAATGCGGAGTGCCAAGCTTGAACCAAATCCCTTGGAGGGGTAAATAAATGAAAAATGTTCCATTCAATGTTTGTTTATTTGTCCCTGTGAATGAATATCTGTGAGTTTGTGTGCATGTTTGTGTGTGTTAATGAAATTAAATGTTGATACTTAATTATGCAACAGAAGTGTAGAGTTGGAGACAGTGAGAGGGACTTCCTGGCCTTTTAATTCCATAGGACAAGTATGCCTATACATAAAGTGAGTAGTTTTGGGGGGGTAAGATTTACCGTTGACGCATTATGACCAATCATCTTTCAATTTTGCGCTCCAACATTTTTTTCTCGCTTCATTTCTCTTAAATTCTGTGCCTTTAACAACCCAACTGACTGTAGGTCAATAAATAAATTCATTACAGATACCTTTTTCAAAGTATGTACTCCCACAGCATAAACCTGGTTGATATCTAACACACCTTTTAATATACGTTTTTTTTTTTGTTTTTTTTTATCGGGATTTGCTATATAAGAAGAGAGGTCTCTCATAATCATAAAAAAATATTGCCATGTAGGGTGTCGCAGAATAAAAATGGCTAAAACAGATATTAAATTTTAAAGACTCAAGATTCTATACTTTTCATCAGATTATCTATTAAAATCTATTTTAATTCGATACATTATCTATTGTAGACATTTTGGGTTTTAATTTAAAATGCAGAATATACTTTACATATCGATTGTAATTATTTTCTGGAATGAGATCTACAGATATTTTAAGCATAACTTTTACAGCGCGATGTAACCGTCAGTTCTATTCTAATAGTATATTTTCTCGCACTTCCCGCCAGTGAAAAACACTTCCGGTTTTTGCTGTCACCTTCTTTTATGTATCTTCTAATCGAAATAAAGAAAGATCATAATAATTATAATTCATTTACGAACATCTCTGTGAATATTCTTCTTCTTCTTCGGGATGGAGTCGGTCGCAGCTTGCCATAATTTCCTGTCCTTTATAGCCCTTAATAAATTTTCTCTTTTTGTTATCTTTCTTAAACCTTGCTCTGCCATCCATTTACTCAAGCTCACTAGGTAGGTTATGTGTTTTACTTCCACTCTCTGGCCTTCAATCTGTCCCTGTGAGGTTCAAATTTTTCAAGCTCTCTTTCCTCATTATGTACCCTAGAAATTTCAACTCTTCCTAATGTCTTTTTTTGTTTCTATTTCTCTAAAACGTCATCGTTGCTCACATGTTCGGTCCCTGGTATTCTCAGCATCCTTCTGTAGAATCACATTTCCGTTACTTCACGTGTTTTCTTCATCTGTGAGGAGATTTTCAAGCGTTCACTGCCATATAGGAAGACTGATATTACATAACAGTTCAGTACTCTTTTCTATGCTTCTAATGAATCTTTTCTCTTTCTTAATACTTCGCTTAGCTTTTGAGAGGCAACTTTCACTATCCAAACACGCCTTTGAATCTCAGTTTCGCTTTTTCCGTCCTCTGTTTAAATATTACCCAGATATTTGAATGATTGTACTTGTAATTTGCATTTTGTATTACCTACAATGTTCAAAAAATTTAAGTACAACATCAATCGCCATCCTGGAACCTGTTCTTTTATTGTCCTTTCTCCTCACTAAGATTTTTCCGTTTTCTTTCACTCCCAGTAAACCTTTTCATCTTAGTGGCATTATCGCCTTGCTTGGGGCGAAATTATTTTTTTAAAAGAAGCTAACGTTTCTGGAAAGAAATGAAAGATAACGTTTTCTGGTTTATTTTGAGAATTAATGTCAGCATTGATTTTAGACAAATTATGCAACTCAGTTCATTAGCATTGCTATAGATTGAAGCCAAGAGAACAAATTAAACTTCTGTTTAATTCTCACGTCCAACAAAAAGTGGAGAAGGTTGAAAGACAGCCAGGACTGGATTAACCATTAAGCAAAATAAGCACGTGCTTAGGGCATCAAGAGAAGAGGGCTCTACTGAAATTGTAATGATATTATGTTGTTGTATATGTCTAAAGAAATAAGTTAAACATGATTAACATTTGAATCAACGGAGTGCCATTATGAACGCGAAGACAACTGACCCGCAGTGAATCTTTATTGCCATTCTGATTGGTTAATAAGGGAATGAGCTAAGGGAGATAATGAGGTTTTTATTTACTCAATACATCACATCATCTCTTTTGAATAAGTTATATTACTTATTAACTTAATGAGATTTATTTTTTGTGAACAGAAGTAGACTACCTTCATATTCATTTGACATTATGCTAACCATATGTTTATGTGACACGCTGGTTTGTTGATTACACGACCACTTCTGGTCACAGTTCTGTTAGAATCTGGTTGTGGCTCACGTGACAGTGGCTGATCAGCTGTGATTGGTTCTTTCTTGGTTGATGTTGTTCTGGGTTGGAACTGATGATCAGCCTCTCTCATTGGTGATATGTGCCTTCAGTTCCTTCTATATTTATTTCCAGCTAGTGTTTCCACGTTGCACATTCTCGGTTGATATCCTTTATTTGTACTAATCACCAAGACTACATACTAGCATACTTAACTCACAGATTTATGGGAGCCCAAAAAATCATTTAAGTGCTTAGGGCCCGTTCTGGTTTTAATCCGGCCCTGCAACCAGTTCTCCTCTATAGTACGTTATATGGTACAATGTAGTTTAATTATTTCTCTTGCACCTGTTATTACAAAATCTTATAAATATTATCCATTTTTTCCAACTGTTTAACGTTCCATAGTTGAGGAGAAAATGAACTTTCAGAAGAATGTTTCATTTCATTTGCATTCATGTAAAATCAGCATAATCACGTGTTACTTTTCTAGTTTGTCAGGGGAGGTTTCTTTTGATTTTAGTATTTGCAATAATCTGATCGGATAAGTTCATTTTTCTCTGTTTACCCTCTGAAATAATATTAACTTTACACGGCTGATAGGTTCTAAATCAGAACCAGAGATCAGTGTTTGAGATCACACTTCATGTACCAGGTTACCGGACGCTTATTGTCAAGGCGGGAAAACTCCCCAGTTTGGCAAATTAGCGCAGCAAATTCTTCCTACACCGAATATCTGCCAGTTTGACCATCTACTGTTTTAGAAGAAAGTAGGTAAATGTTAGTGTTGCTAGGTACTTTCAAATTGGTGCCATATGTCGTGACTCGAAGGCAGGTCGTCCTCGTTTAAAAGATTGACTCAAAGTAATCTTAATATCTGAAATTACTCACCTTTGAATTTACACCAAACTAAACGCGAACTTAGTAAATAATAATAATAAACTATTAATATATAAGGATCTTGCAGTAGAAATCTCAAAAATAGAAAATACCAGATGCTGTGAGCTCGGACGTGCCGGAAGTGTTATGGATAACAGCTGGCAATTTGAAATCTGAGAGCCGAGTTTCAAATCCAGTAAGGTTCGTTATATCCACTTACTACGTTATATCCACCCAAATATCATTGGAAAAGATATGAATCCCCCTATTTCCCCAGCTATAGGTTAAATAGTAGGGCAATAACTAAAATTCATACGTCATAATAAATAAAAAATCTTGTCTGTATCGTGAAAATTACCGAAATTCAATTCCTTATTTTTTATGTTATTTACAAAGCCAAATATAGTTTGGGACAAGGTCATAAATATAAGGGCGCCTAATGAAGATCGAACATTTTATTTCTGTACAACCAAAGTAGCCTGTTAACGATTCTGATCACCCATTGTCGGTGTTCTCTACGTTTCGAATAATTAAACACAAATTCATAAGTATGAGCCACTTAGTGATTACCGAACTCAATTAATATGATACTAGTTCAGGCTACTGATCTTTTTACTACGGTGAGGCACCTATAAGTTATCTGCTTAACGTAGTTTAGTTTCGGCACAAGACTCTAAGTTTGTGACACCCAATGCCAATCGAACGCACAACTAAAATTTTACGCAATTTGCTGATTACTACAACAAGGGCCCACCTTGTTGCTGTTTCGAACGATACAAAGAATAAAAAAAAAACACAAGAAGAAGCGAGAAAAATAAAATTAAAAACTTTTTTTTCCTTCGGACGACGACGACATGGCAACATCTGGCAGAAAAAGAAGTCCTAAACGAATAGTTCCAAACCCTACACTTAATTTCGAACAGTCAAACATGGTTTGATGTTTTAGATTTTTCGAGTTAAACATTTATGAAATGCTCACACACAAACACACTGTATATTTTCCCGATATATGGCGCTTACTGCCATATCAAGTTGGCATACCGTTTCTCGTACGAATCACTGAAGTTAAGCAACGTTGAGTCTGGTCAGTACTCAGACGGGTGACCGATTAGGAATATCAGGTGCTGTAAATCTTGGATGGGCGTGTGGCGTAATGGATAACGGCTCGGAATTGCAAATCGAAGAGCTGAGTTTCAGTCGGTATCGTTATATTAACTTATGCGCAAATAATCCTAGGAAATGCATAAATCCATACCTTCTCCCTCCCCCAGCAATGGGATAATTAGTAAAACCTGTAAATCATTATTATCTAGCAAAAAAAATCTTACAGTCTAAGAATATTTTTGGCTTTTAATATCCTGTAAAAGGTTGATAAACAGTGAAAAAACACACACAAAATAAATCAACCAGTCAATGAATCAAAATCCGATATGCGGTTGTAAATATCGAAATCCCCAAAATAAATTCTTCTAGCCACATTTGCTAAAGCGAACAGTTCCGTGTCTGAAGCTGTTAACAATGGTATTATTAATAAAACTGGAACATAAAAAACAAACATGGAAGATTCAATAGAGTGAATATAAAATGAGACTCAATAAAAGATGTTTTTTCTCTCGTTCTCTTTTAGTTTTTCTTCAAAGATGAAGAAGAAATCTTAATCACATTCAAATCCAATTGATATAGACAGATAAGCCGATCCCTAAACCTACTCTTCCTGATAAAACCTGCCCCATATGATAACACCCTGCCTGGTGTAATATATATATATATATATATATATATATATATATATATATATATATATATATTTGTGTGTGTGTCTCTGTGTGTGTCCCTGTGTGTGTGCGTGTGTGTGCGTTTGTATTTCAGCAGCAATTATAATTTATATATGTTTGGTTAAAGACTAAGTAAAGTTCCTTATTAAAGATTTTTTTGTTTATTTTTATTATATTTAAAACTATTTTCCTGGTTTCTAGTGAAAATTTAAATAAAAAAATGGCCAATGTCTGAGTACTTTTGACTTTCGTAAGCTATTTTTCAACAGTCTTTGTCGCGCACGTACGCACTCACGCACACACACACATATATATATATATATATATATATTTTTTTTTTTTTCGGTAAAAATCATGTTAAATGACGTCATCATTATTCATGATATCCTTTAAGGTAGCTTTCTCTCGTTCTTTCAAGAAGAGGCGAATGTTTTTCGCTTTATTATGTAAACTCATCCATAATTATTTTATGAAAAATTCTTTCTCGGAGAAAACGAGCAGCTTTTAGCAAATTGCAACATATTTGAAATATTCTAACACATACTTTCAAAAATAAAGCTGAAGGAATAACTGATTTTCGTTGTCCATATTTATTGTTGCCTTGTCTCTTGGCTTTTATTGTTATATCACGAGAAAAAAAGTACTGTCCAATTTCTGTTAAACCAAATCGCTACACTATTGTTTTCTTTTTGCAGTTTCTGATTAATAATTGACTAAAAAATCTCTGTATAAAAAAAATATTTATTTAAAAAAATAATTATAATTTAAATCTAGTCCTTCGTTCGCTATGTTAGTTCACCAGAAAATCAGTCGCTTTTATGGTAAATTATAAAAAGAAAATTATGATTCCTGCAACAAAAGGAGTCCGTTGACGGAGTTTTAAAGTAACAACTTTCTTAGCATTAGTTCAAGCGACACAGCTATGAACAAATACATCTCTCGCTTTTCTCTTTAACACACTTACTATCTTTCTCTCTTTAAAAGAAACGTCTTCTCTTTAAGCATTTGAATACTTTACTAAATGCACATGACATCTTGTAAAAATTATGTATTGTAAAATAATTTTTAAAATACTACTTATTTTGTTTTCATAAAACTAACTAAAATTGTTTAATTGCTTCTACCCGCTTAAATTTAGAGATTAATGGTAAAATTTGGAAATTAATGGTAACATTTAGAAATTAATGGTAAATTAATTTATATAAATTAATGGTAAATTAATAAGTAAATTATAAAGAAGTAAATCTATAAAGATTAAATTATAAAGAAGTAAATTATAAATGGATGGTAAATTCATTTGGAAATTAATGGTAAAATTTGGAAATTAATGATACATTTGGAAATTACTAGTAAAAATGGTAAAAAAATCTATGTTAATTTTTAAAATGTAAAAACACGTATTTTTGCACAAATCCAAGTCGTAAATGATTGATATGAAATAAAAACAGTGTTAAACGGAATAAGTGAAAATAAATGTTTAATTTTTAAAATGTTTCGTTCTCAAAACGACACCAAGAAAAAAATGAAATATCCAACTGGTTTTTACTCATTCAATTTTACATAATTCCAAATATAATTAATATGAGTCATTATTGCAAGGACCTAGGGCGACCCACACTATATCCGGTACTCTTTAGCTGTTGGTGAGGAACTTGGAGAGAAGATGGGAGACGCCAAGCTCTGTAAAAAGCCACTGAAAGGATCATGGGGAAGAAAAATCAAAGTCTCTCTCTTCTGCCCTCATGTCCCACACAATTGCAGTCGATGAACTGAGTATTATTATTATTATTATTGTTGTTGTTGTTGTTGTTGTCCCCAGTCTGTCTTCTTTATGAGTCCTAGGTATGATGATAAACTGCATCCGGCAGCAAGATCTCCGATCGGAAGATTGAAGGTTTTGAGGAGCGTGGAACCACCTCTTAATTGCTGTTGTTCCCAGGTCTACACTGACCCAAGGTTTTAGCACCTGCTAGGGTCCCAGCTCTGGAAATATAGTTAACCACCAAACAAAATACTGTGAAAGTATAAAAATACATTTTTATAGTAAAAGTAACAGAAATACATTTTTATATAAAAAATTGCCAGCAACAAAATGTAGCGACTGCGTACAAATCCGTTGAAAATTGTTACCAAACAGCCAAAACGAAAAAAAAACAAACTCTTTCATGACATTAATCCATATAATATCCTACAATTTCTTTGAGAAATCAAACTATATTCCAACTTCAACAAAACTGCAACATAAAACAGACATATCACCGCCTCTAGTAATTATGTCTACACAAACGTATATATGCACAAAAGCTGAGTATCATCTACCATATACTCAATAGTGAAAACATAAAAAAAATTACAATCTAAAAATATTTTCTAGTTTTAAATAACCTACAAAGGGTTGATAAGACGTAGAAATTGAATCAATCAATCATACGAAAATGTCTACATTCTAAAATTAGTAAAAAAAACTCTAGAATCTACCTGAAGTACTTTATTTTAAATATTTAGTAAAGTAAGTCTGACACAAGGCTACAGTAGTGAGAGCACCAGGTGAGAATCGATTTCATTACATTAGTAACGGTTTGCTCCCGTAAATATATGGTATGTATAGAATAAACAATATATTATAGCCAGAAGTCTTTCGTATATTATTTTCATTCGGGGAAAAATAATTTATGGCGTTATCATAATTTTGAAATATATACGCTTTTTTATTTATTTTTAAATCCAAAAAGAAAGTTTGAAGCTATCTAAATCACTTCCTGAATTTATGACCGAAATACATTTCACGTATAAAACGAATTCCCCAGAAATATTTCAGTTAAACACCTTGATAAAAGAAATATCTTTACAAATTCTTTAAAAAAAATATTTTGTTTATATATATATATATATATATATATATATATGTGTGTGTGTGTGTGTGTGTGTGTGTGATTGTATGTATTTATGTATTCATGTCCATAAAACTATGAAAAAAGTAGCCTGCATTGAAAAATTAATGAAATGTAATTTTATTTGAAGTTTACTCCTTGTATATTAAATTTATATATATATATATATATATATATATATATATATATATATATATATATATATATTATTGACTGGCTTGTGGCATCTAACGATTTCATTATCAAAGTGGTTTAATGCATCGCCCATCACTGAAAAAAAAATAAGGAAGAAGGCTGTTATATGCCAAGAACTTTTTTTTTATGTATAATTGTCAAACTCCGTCGCTATCTTTCCCCATATACGCACACTTAGTTACCAGATAAAGACCCAAGTGCCAAAACACAGATAATCTTCCATAAGCATATACATTATTTACTTACAAATATACATAGCTATACAGACGTAGTTTTCAACCCATTTAATAATTTATAAAATATGAAACTAACACCATCATATCTAACTCCCATAAAGAATTCGATGTTATTTTTTGTTTTCAACGTCTCTTCAAATTCTAACTCATTTATATATATATATATATATATATATATATATATATATATATATATATATATATATATATATATATATATATTATAAAGGAACTAAAAGAAAATCTCGAACTTTTTCTTTTGTTACTTAAACTAAGAGAAGGGAAAAAAGATATAAATTCATATCGGTGTCACGATTACTTATTTTTTTTGTTATAGAACTGTTATTGAATTTATTACTTTAAACGTTAATATGTTTAAAACTGATTTACGTTCTTTTTTTAAACACTTCACTTCGCATATATCTCGTATTTGATAGGTTTTAAAAATAAATGATAATAAAAAAGAAAAAGGTTCTAATGCAAAGAAGAAGGAAAGGGAATTCGGCAATTGAAAATCAGAAAAAAGTAGTTAAGAAAGTTAACGGAAACCTTCGTCAGCGAATTTGCTTTTTTCAAAGGAAAGAAAGGACACATGAAAATGCAAGCATTCAGTGTCCTTCATACAGGCAGGTCTCCCTTACGTTTTTCCATTATCGTCTATATTTTAGATATTATATATTTATCCGGCCTTGCACATATCTTAAAAGGATGTAAATGATAGCTCATCGAAAAATAGACATATTTTTCTTTTGATACTTGCTTAAATAAAAATTGCATTGGAATTCATTTTACATATCTCTATCTATCTATCTATCTATCTATCTATATATATATATATATATATATATATATATATATATATATATATTATAAATTTAACATGTTTCGGTTTTTGGAAGCTTCATCATCAAATATGGAGGCGAAAAAAATTCTGGTATATTTTTTATTTTTACGTTTGTTTTTCATTGATTAATAAATCCCAACATATATATATATATATCGCATTTTATACAATGATCTTACATATCTACAC